AGGTCCACAAAACTGGGAACCCACTGAGAGACTCATCTTAGACATGTCGAAATAAATAAATGTGTTTTAGAAACGAAGGTCACAGTGGAGAAAATTTTCTTTTCAACGAGGTCATCACCATCAGCTAGGCTGTACGTTGGTGTATTTATGACAAATGGGTGAGAAAGTTTCAGAACTGTTTTCGTTCAGTTAAGGGTCAAATTAATAAAACTACAAAATACAGTAAACAGGAAGAGCGGATAAACAAAACATACAGTAGGATCATAAATACTGAGGAAGTTGACCTTTTTCTTTGTGCAGTTAAGGGTTCAAGTCTGTCTGTCTGAATTCAACATAGAAATATCATGCCGGATCGGCCGGGGCCCGGATTAACAACGACCGCGCTTCCTGCTGCCGTGTCACATGGCAGGAGTGATAAATATGCTACTGAGACACACCAAACAGTAAAGAACGAACAAAAACAGGCCGCATGTGACCGGCCTCAGGCAGTTGTCCCCTGGGCTCTGCGGTCACGCAACCAACTTCCACAGTGTGGGCAGCCGGGAAGTAACAATCGCCCTCACATTCCGACATGCACGAGAAACCTCTCCAATCCTCACTCATCTTTGTCTTCATCTTCATCTCTATTATCTTGCCTTCCTTCCACTACTGCAACTCATCTACTTGATAACTCTTCACTTCCTCTTCACTCTGTGTCCACTTAAAACGATGGAAGCCAAAAAACCACTACCAATAGTCTCCTAAAGCCACACCACCAATTTCATATAGGAGTATTTAATGTTAGGACACTTTGCCAAATAGGACAACAAGCATCACTAGCCAAGACCCTGGTATCCCGAGCCATTGATGTATGTTGTGTTTCAGAAACACGCATACAAGACCCAAGTGTGGTTATTCACCTAAGCCCACCTGGCCAACAGGATGAATCTGCAAAATTCACCTTGAGGGTGTCAGGAGATGCCACAGCTAGTTCACGAGGATTAGCTGGCGTAGGGATAGCTTTGAGTACTAGGGCAGAAAAGACATTGCTTGACTGGATCCTGGTAGATAGCCCAATGTGTGCTGTCCGTCTGAACGGACTGCATTAGTCGCCGATGCCTTTTCGTAATCTCCGCCTACGCCCCCACTGACTGCAGTTCGGATGAAACGAAGGGTGAGTTCTAAGGATTCAAGAGGTAGTAATAACAAAATTTGAAACAAGTTCGGACTGACTGGTTTCAACACAGAACTTTGCACAGATGTGCAGCAGTTCCAATTGCCAGTCTCCTTCCATGTAGCACACAAAACAAGACGAGAGTAAAGACAGACCTATCATAAGAGATAATTAACATAAATATCAGGCAAAGAGAATAGTAATACGGGAGAACAATAGAATATTACTGGATATGATAAATCACAAAGGTTGAATGCATCCGCACCATTGACAACGATGATTTTGAGCCAAATCATCAGTTGTCTCCAGCCGTTGACTTTCAGCATCCATAGGACCCCAACTAGTCAGATAGTTTACAACTTCCTACGTGGCTTAAACTAACTGTTGTGGATTTCATTGATTGATGAAGCCGTATTTTGTTCTGACCACCACTAACTAGCTGTTTTCCAAATTGATCCATCCTATGTCAGTTAACATTGCCTGTCGGTCGAGGAAGGCGATGACTAGGCGTGCATTTATAACACATGTCCTAACTATCTCAGTCGATGTAATTTCACAGCCCCGTCGATTGATTTCCTCTCCTTACCTAGCACTCGACCGATGCCCAACCTCAATATCACTCACCTCATTTTACCACTTAACACGGGGTAAAGAAGGTAGACATCATTAATGAAAGACAGCTAACCAGCATTTCCATACCTTCCATTTTCAATGGCCATCTCTCACAGTCACCTATAAAGGGAGGATAGAGCGAACTGCTGAGCAGTACACATGTCCTTTAATCCATAGCCAGCGGATATTATGTCTACTAAGCCAGAGATGGCGTAAGTTGGCACATACAGAAATAACCTTCTGTATCAGTGCTGGGATTCCGTCAGAGAACAACCTGCTGGTGTTGGGTGATGTAACTTCCCAAATAAGTGAAATGGTCAACACGCTGCACCAACCACTTCACTCCTGTCTATCTTTAAGCTAGGAGTGAGTCAATGTATTCCAGTCCAGTCCTGTAGCATCATCTCACATTCGACAAGGGGATAAAATCGCATGCCAAATATTCAAAGATGGCTCCTCGAGATGTTGAGAAGTCACTGCATTTTGTCAGCGTCTTTGCCTGGGAGCAGGACTATATCATCTGCGTATTCTAAGTCAACTAGATAGGAATCAAAAATAACAAAAATAAACATGAAGATCGTATAAGGAAGATAATAGGACAGTCACTACTGAGACGACTACGGAGACGTGATATCCGACTATCGACCAAAGAGCGGGTGTACTGCTCATCAGTCCGCTCCGTCCTCATTTATGGCTGACTGTGAGACCTGGCCATTGAGAGCGGAAGACATGAAAAGATTAGCTGTCTTTGATCATTCGTGCCTGTGTTCTGTCTCCCGTGTGAAGTGGTAAATTAAGTTGAGCAATATTGAGGTTAGGTTTTGGTCGAGTTCTGGGTAAGGAGGGGAAATCAATCGACGAGGCCGTGAAATTACATCGACTGAGATAGTTAGGACATGCGTTATGGATGCACGCCTAGTCATCGCCTTCGTCGACCGACAGGCAATGTTAGCTGACACAGGGTTAGGCTGGAAAAGAGCTAGCGGCGGTCAAATCAAATATGTCCCTATCAGTCAATGAAATCTACAACAGTTAGCCTAAGCCACATAGGAAAGGTGTAGACTTCCTGGTTAGGGTCCTCGGGACGGTGAAAACCAATGGCGATTGGAGACAATTGTTGATATGACTCAAAGTGATCGCTGTCAATGGCTGGTGCAGATGCATCCACTCCTTGTGACTTATGATTTTCAATGAAACTGCTTTGTTCTTCATTATTACTATTTCTTTGTCTCACACCTCTGTTTACTGTCTTTATTATGCATTTCTTCTACTTTCTTCTGTTGGTTTTTGTGATACATGGAGGGAGTGTGGCGACTTGAACTGGTGCACATCGGTGCTAACTAAGTTCTATGTCGAAAACAGACAGACAGAGACAAGACTGATGGCTATAATAGGGACAACGGTTGGATGCATTTCTTTCAGATACATAGTGTGGGCTTGAACTTTTCGATCTCTAACACCTCCCTCAGCTATGCCCAAATACTTTGATCTCACTCCCTTTCGAGAAGTTTGGTCAGATCCTATGTGTGTGTGACTTTGAAGGGATTTTCAAATGGAACTGAATGTCGTGAATTCAATAGATGTTACACAGATGTACAGCCTAGTTGATGATTTCATTGAAAAGAGCATTTTCTTCGCTAAAACCGTCTTTTTAATATTTCCCCTAATCTAATGTGTATTTTCCACAAATAGATATGTGCATTGATATTTAATCGGATCATTGTCGGGTACTTTTTTTTTTTAAATTTCTTGGGGATTTGACAAGCTACTTGATAATTTAGTAATTCTCATAGTAACGCCAAGAAGAAAATATTCAGCGAAGAAACTCTTTTCAACAAATTTATTAAGGTGTACAATCATATATATATATATATATATATATATATATATATATATATATATATATATATATGACTAGTTTTCACATATTCCCAGCACTTGTGAAAACTAATTATGACTAGTTACGTGGAAAATAAATGGTTAGCAACCTCACGGTTGGTTTGATGTGAGTAATATGCAATTACTACTGGCCCCAGTCAATCAGTAGTATTATATTATTATTATTATTATTTCCTTTAATTCGCAGAGGAACATAGGGCTTTAGCCGCGCGTCTCCATTGCGTTTGGTTCTCTGCTAGAGTTTTTACCTGGCTCCAAGTCTGCCCACATGCTTTCACCTCCTGTTCACATGACCACCATGTCACCCCAGCCTCATACTGACGACCAACTCGCCGGTTCCCATTCGGGTTCCACTCGAACAATGGCTTGTCTAGTGATGTCACTTGATGGTTTCCTCAGAGTGTGGCCAGTCCACCTCCATTTCCCCCTGCTTATTTGTCGCACAATCGGTTCCTGGTTGGTTCGCTCATTGCCAAAGATCCCTGTTGGTGATCTTTTCTGACCGACCATCTGATCTTGAGTAGTATTGAGCGAAGACAGCTAGCTGTTGATGAATGTCTGTAGTTTGTTTGAGATACTCTTTATGACGCGCCAAGTCTCTGATCCGTGTAGAGTAGCACTGACTTCACATTGGAGTTGAAAATCTGGATCTTATTTTTGATTCTGAGTAGGGCTGTTGACCTTCACACAGATTTGAGAGTAATGAAAGCTTGTCTTGCTTTTCCGATCCTCGATCCTTTGATATCCTCGTCAGTTACACCTGTAGTTGAAACGATTCTTCCCAGGTAAGTGGGTGGGTAAGGGAGGTTGTTTCTTTCAGGTTCCTCCCATTTATGCAGGCTGATTGTTGTCTGTTGTTGTTGCTGTGGCTGCTGCTGTTGGCCAGGAATCTTCCTCATCTCTGTTTTCTCTATGTTCACATGAAGTTATAACTTCTCTGGATGGTTCTCCTGCTAACTTGTTGCTTCTCACTCGCATATCTTCCAGTTTGTTGGAAATCAGACATATATCATCGGCGAAGTCCAGATCCTCCAGGTTTTTTGTGTGGGTCCATTTTAATCCTGTTTCCTCATTACCCGGTCCGATGTCTGTCACATTATCCAATCTACTACAATCAAGAAAATCATTGGGTATAGTAGGCAGCCAGCTAACCAGCTTGTCTTACTCCCGTCTTCACTTCTTCGAAGGATTCGGTGAGTTTTTTCCGTTGTGGATTACTTGGCATGCAGTGCAGCATTGTCGTACAACTGTTAGATGAGATGTATAATTATACCTTTGTGAGATTATTCCTTCTAACTTGATTTCTTATTCTATTCATCTTTTTTTTTACTTGTAGGCTGTTATTGATAGTTTTCTCGACTCAGGATTTAAAGATTTCACATTGACGGAAAGAACAAATGTCTACTATCATTTTAGTGGATTACCAGAAAGTGATAAGAATGGAAATATAATCAGTGATGAATGAATAAATGACTGCAGTCCACCCCACCCCGGCCCCCCTCTACTACACTTCACTTCACTATACTACGCCACACCACGCTACACTACACTACACTTGATTGCATTTTGACTACAAAGAATTTTTTCATACAGCATTCATGTATACAACACATTTATGTGTATGTGTATTTGTGTATATTTTGACATACTACTTATTTGAATGGAAGATAAAACAAACGAAACAAAACACAAAGCACCATCCCTTTTGCTATTCACCATTTTAATTTTTTTGGTTTGGTTTTTTCAAATTATTTTCTGGTTTCACTCTCCTTGTTTCATCTTGTTTCTTTTTTCTCTTTAACACAAGTTTTATACAAGTATCACTTTTTTGGTAGATTTTATCAAAACAGAACATCAGTTGCTGGCTGATGATGTGCAGTGTGCACCATGAAACCAATTTAAAATGAGTTCAAAATGAATGAATGAACGAATGAGGATGACGAAATTGCCTATCTTCATCTCACATGAAATGTACATTCCATTGTGTGTGTGTGTGTAATTTTTAAATTCATCTTTAACATATTTTTTTAAAGTTTTATTTTGTTTATATTTTGTCTGTTTTTGACATAGAACCTAAGTTAGTACCGATGTGCGCCAGTTCAAGTCGCCACACTCCACTCCTTGTAGCACACAAAGCAAGAGAAGAAAGTAGAACAGAGGTGCAAGACAAATGAATAGTAATAATGAAGAACAATATAGTTTCATTGGAAATCATAATTCACAAGGAGTAGATGCATCTGCGCTGGCTATTGAGAACGATGAGTCTGATCCTATGTCAGCTAACATTGCATGTCGGTCGAGGAGGGCGATGACTAGGCGAGACATACGTAACACATGTCCTAACCGTCTCAGTCGATGTAATTTCACAGCCTCGTCGATTGACTTCCCCTCTCACCTCTACCTAGCACTCGACCGATGCCTAACCTCAATATTGCTCACCTTATTATACCACTTCACAAGGGATGTGGATAGAACGCAGACACCTGTGATCAAAGACAGCTGGCTAGGCGTCTCATGTCTTCTATTCTCAATGGCCACGTCTCACAGCCAGCCATAAAGGAGGACTGCTGAGTAGTACACACGCCCTTTGGTCGATAGCCAGCCGGATATCACGTCTACTAAGCCAGAGCCGGTGTAAACTGTCATATGCCAAACTAGCCTTCTTTATTCGTGCTGAGATTTCGTCAGAGATCAACCCGTTGGCGCTGGCTGATGGTACTTCCCAAATAAGTGAATCGGTCAACGTGCTCTACCACTTCAGTTCCTATTTTTAAACTATGAGTCGGTGTAGTCCAGTCCTGTACCATCATCTTGCATTCGGCGGGAGCGAACCACATGCCAAACATACGTACATTGCAGCTCAAGTTGTTCAGAAGACTCTGCATTTTGTCAGCGTCTCTGTCTAGGAGCAGGACTATATCATCTGCATATTCTAAGTCAATGAGATTTCGGATAGAAATCATTTGCTAGTTCATCTGAGCTGCAATCTGTTGGGGCGAGACTATGAAAAGGCGAAGACGGGTAGCGCCGTCCTTTCTTCTTTTAATGGACCCATTCAGCCGGACCGTACACATACGACTATCTACTGGGATCCAGTCAAGAAGTGATTTTTCCGCCCTAACACTCAGTGCTATTCCTACACCTGCGAGTCCCCGCGAGCTAGCTAAGGGGTCTCTTGACACCCTTAAAGTGAATTTTGCAGATTCACCTTGGTGACCGGGTGAGGTCAAGTGAATGACCACACTCGGGTCTTGTATGCGTGTCTCCGAAACACAACATACATCCATGGCTCGAAATTCCAGAGTTCTTGCTAGTGATGCCTGCTGTCCGATTTGGCAGAGGGTCTTGACGTTAAATGCCATTATATGAATGATTGTCTTCTAGTACACACGTCTCCAATTGATGTCTGAAGGTGTTAACGTGATGTTATTTAGTTGATGGTCGCTAGTAATGGAATTGGGATGACAAGTAACACAGGAGCAAACATACATCCTGTATTGCATATCATATTAACCTTCATTCAAGAAGATCTCGACTTCCTGGAGAATCCGTGTTTAGTGTTACATAAACTCCGGAGATCTACACTTGCAGAAACCAACAAATTGGCAAAAGAAGAGGAAGAAAAGGCGGAGAGAGACCTTTAAGTGAAGATGGAGAAGACAGAAGTGATGAAGACAGCCAACTGGCGAACAACAACAAGAGGCACCAATCACTATCGACGAGAGAAATTTGGTCGACGTCACCTCCTCCTTCACTTACCACCCAGACGGCACAGATGAGGATGTCAAAACCAGCGAGGATCGGAAAGGAAACACGGACCTTGATCACCCTGGAATCATTTTGGAAATCTCCACTAATCATAAGGAACAAACTTGTGATTTTCAAAACCGATGTCAAATCAGTTATTTCTTCTGTATGGTTGAGAAACTTGCACTGCGCGTCATGAAAAGCATTTCCAAGAGGCTACTGCAAAACTCTAATCAACGGCTTCCTTCTCTACATACTGAAGATCAGATGGCGAGAAATAGCAACAGGGAACTCTAAGAACAAACCAACCAAGAACCTATCACCCAACAATTATGCTGGAGAAAATGAAAACTGACTGAACACACACGTGAGGAAACGATTGAGTGACATCGCGTGGCAGGCCATTTATTAATAGAAACTGAATAGAGAATACCGAGTTGGGTATGTGTCTCACAGTGACATGATGGAGATCGTGTGGTGAGGAGGAGACGAGAGCTTATGGGCAATGGTGGAACCAGCTGAATTGGGATGCAGAGAACAGCATAAAATGGAGATATGCAGTGGAAGCCCTACGCTGCACTCGGAACCCAAGGGAATAATAATAGTTACCTTCAACCTTTGTCGAAGCGTTCGTACTAGGAGGCAACACAGGCCGAACATCTCCGTCCAGTTAAATCATCAATCAAGGGGAAATAAAGGAGGTATGTTCAAGAGGTGGCTTTCGTGACCTAGGGGATACAGATTTTCTGCGTTTGAAACAACGGCTGCTGGTTTCGAGTTTCAGTAGGAACACTATCGCTGACTGAGGCGGTAAATCCAGTTGACGAGTCCGAAGTAGAATGAAAAATGGATCTCAGTCAGCCGATTGTGGAAGTGAACCTGTTTGATAAAGAGTTGTCAGGAATTGATTGTCTAAACAGTTTATTTAGTCAAGGCGGTGACATGTAAGTATAACGTGAATACGAAAGTAAAGCTGAGTCTTTTAAACATCCTGAACCAAACTCTGGATATGTTTTGCATGCATGCGCTTCAGTGCTAACAAATATTAAACGATGTCATCGGGCTGGTCTGTTTCTAATTTCAGTTTGATGCTAAGGAATAAACTGGCTGAAGGGCTCTGATCACTTTAGAGATTGAAACAACCTTAGTTGCTAACGAAATCTAAGCACGGCTTAGAAACATGTTACTTGGTGCTTACTGACTCGGATTGTCTTCGGCACTGGTGAGGTAGGTGAATACGTGTGAAAGGGTGTTTATGCCACACTCTGTAATTCGTTCTATCCTCTGGAAGTCGAATCAAATTTAAGATTACAAACTTTTGATTGTAGGTGTCTTCATTGACCTGCTAACGTTTGAGGAAAGGAACAACATGGGAATTCGTGTTGATATTAAAAGTCGAGTGTTACGTAAGAAAAGTAATTTAGTTGATAAGGTTGTAAGTCTCCATTGATTAAGGCAGGTGGGGGAAGTCGTGAGCCAACGTATTTCTCAGCAAGTAATGTTAGCTGAAGTAAATATGGCGCCAATTCATCACTTATTCTTATTCTTATAATATCCTTTAATTCCTAGAAGAACATAGGGCTTCAACCGCACATCTCCATTGCGTTCGGTTCTCTGCTAACGTTTTCATCACCTGGCTCCACGTCTGCCAACATGCTTTCATCTATTCTTCATATCACCTCCTCCAAGTCACCCTAGCACTGACGACCGACTCGCCTCTTCCCTTTCGGGTTTCACCCGAGCAATGGCTTGTCTAATGATGTCACTTGATGGTTTGTTTTCTCAGAGTATGGTCAATTCACCTCCATTTCCTCCTGCTTATTTGTTTCACAATCGGTTCATACTGGGTTGGTTCGCTCATTGTCAGAGATCCCTGTTGCGGATCTTTTCTGTCCGGCCATCTGATCTTGAGTAGTATTGAGCGAACACAGCAGTTAATGAAGGTCTGTAGTTTGTTTGATGTGCTCTTTATGACGTGGTGCCAAGTCTCTGATCCTTGTAGAGTAGTACTGACTTCACACTGGATTTGAAAATGCGGATGTTATTTTCGATGCTGAGTGATGTCAACCTTCACACAGACTTGAGAGTAATGAAACCTTGTCTTACTTTTCCGATCCTCGATCCTTTGATATCCTCGTCAGTTACACCTGTAGTTGAAACGATTCTTACCAGGTAAGTGGGTGGGTAGAAGAGTTAGTTTCTTTCAGGTTCATCCCATTTACACCGGCTGATTGTTGTCTGTTGTTGTTGCTGTGGCTGCTGCTGGTGGCCAGGAATCTTCATCACGTACCTCTGTTTCCTCTATGTTCACCTGAAGTTCTATCTTCTCTGGATGCTTCTCCTGTCGCCAGCTTGTTGCTTTTCACTTGCATATCTTCCAGTTTGTGGGAAATCAGATATATATATATATCACATCGGCGAAGTCCAGATCCTCCAAGTTTTTTGTGTGAGTCCATTTTATGCCTGCTTCCTCGCTACCCACCGCTGTCTGTCTGTTGCGTTATCCAGTTTGCTGCAATCAGGAATGTCATTGGCGATAGTAGACAGTAGCCTTGCCTCACTCCCGTCCTCACTTCGAAGGCTTCCGTAAGTTTCCCGTTGTGGATTACTTGGCATTCAGCATTGTCGTGTAACTGTTGGATGAGATGTATAATTGTCGATGGCACCACGTAGTAGCGAAGTGACTGGGTGTCCTTGAGATGCAGAATTTCACTGAAGATGGCTTCATCAACACTATGTGCTGACTTTCACTGGTTAAGATGAATGCATTCTGTAAAATGCCCCGCTTTTGTATTACCTTCGATTTTCAGTTAACTAATTATGTATTTCAAATTAAAAATATTGATTCTGAAATGTATTTTGTACTTCAGATGATCAAATTGTTATTCTTACTCGGTTTACTACTTCTGACCTGTATTAGATAAGAACAGTTTCATTGGAGGATAGCATATGCGTACGATTAACTATTATTATGTTATCTGCCTATCAACTCCCAGGGACCTATGGCAGTGTAAGAATTGAAACTACATACCACACTATTGTAACCTAATACCTTCATATAATGTTCTTCTGTGAAAACGTCTGCTCAACCGCTTTTGCAGACGTATCAATATCATCCTAGACATCAAGTAATTATTACACATCCCCTCTAATCTAAATATTTTTCGAAATATGTTATTTCTCTCTGTGTGGGTAGAACACAAGATTGATGAATGTGACTATCTTTATTCTTGTTCCTCGAAAGCCAATTTCTTAGATCTATACTATTATTTGAAGAAGCGTCATGTAAAGTCGTATACAAGGTTTGAATTATAGAG